TTGTCATCAACCAATTGTCATCAACCAATTGCCACCCACCAATTGTCACCAAACAATTGCTACCAACCAATTGTTACCAACCAATTGCCACCAACCAATTGCCGTGCACCAATTGTCACCAACCAATTGTCATCAGCCAAATGTCACCAACCAATTGCTACCAACCAATTGTCACCAACCAACTGTCATCAACCAATTGTCAACCAACCAGTCGCCGCCAACAAACTTCCACCCACAAACTGCCACCAACCAACTGCCACCAACCAATTGTCACCCACCAACCACCAATTGTCCGCTCCTGTGTTTTCTGAAGTTGTTAACATGCGGGGTTATCCGGTCCTGTATTTTTGATCAACGGGCCGGGCACCATTCTTCCCAAGATCCTGGAGAAGTCAGCAAATTAACTTAAAGTTGACCATCCAGATGGGCACCCTTTAGTCCTGTGTTTGCATTTTTGAAATTGTTTCGATCATAGTTAATCATATTTAAGCCTAAAATTGTTACAAATAAGATCTAAATGATTAGAAATTACTCAAACAATAAGAGTAAAAAATTAAACAAATATGATTAGAAATGATTTTGAACCAAATTTCCCACCGAGAAAAAGTATGAGTGAACCAAAAGTGTTTGCACGAGTAAGTCCACGAGTGGAGCCACGAGTGAAGTTGCAGTGAACTTGCAAACAAAATGAAAGCTCAACATTTCCTTTTCCGATAAGTTGACGAGTCGAGCGACAAGTCAACTTACAAAACACTTACAAAACTTCCTTTTACGGTTCCTTTACGATACTCAACGAGGCCAGGATCACTGTGCTGTCAGGGATTGTAACAAGTTTTTGAAACTAGTAAGTTTTGGCTGAAGAGCTCTCTGTGCTGGCAGGGGTTGTGACAAAGTAAGGTTTTTGAAACTAGTCAAGTATTGGCTGATGGCATTGAGTATTCTTTTTGAAAGTAGTCAAGTTTTGGCTGTGCTGGCAGGGATTGTAAGATTTTTGAATAGTAACTAGTAATTTTTTTGGCTAAGCACTGTGCTGGCAGGGATTGTTACTGTAAGATTTTTGAATCTAGTCAAGTTTTTGCTGAAGAGCGCTGGAATCGTAACAAGTAAGTTTGTTGAAACTAGTCAGGGTTTGGCTGAAGAGCACTGTGCTGGCAGGGGTTCCAACCCTTGCAAACAACATCAACCTCAGTCAAAAATGCAGTAGGGCTCCATTTTTGGGTTTAGGTTAAAATGAACAATACGTGACAAGACATTCAGGCCAATCAGCGTCAACCTCATCAAACAAGTCATGGCCATCCATTGTTGATCTTCATGATGATTCACCTGGCTGGCGCGTACGAAGTGCACTGCTATTTAGTCTACTGCGCTGCGAGCCTGAGTCCCATGACATGGAATCATAGCGATCAAAACATGCCTGAAAATATCAAGGAATGTCGCAGACCGCATGCATCCTTTTTATCAAAAAGCCACGTTCAATGTGATCGCTCACAACTATCTAAATGCGCCAACTTGCCCAACAACTTCTGGCGGGCACCATGTGAAGAACCTGATTCATAATTCACAGAGCAAAGCATTACAGTCGAGCGGTGACAAGTTGTAATACACATCACTTTGGCTGACGCATTTGGGCGCCATGTAACGTAGCGAACTTTCAATCCGTCCTCCACATGCTTGCATTGACCTGTGACATGGAACTTGTGCCCGGTCTCCGTGATTTAAAAACAAGTCTGCTAATTCGACATCCAGATGAAGAGGTTGGCACAGTGCCCTTCAGCTTCGACTCTGACTCAACGCTTCAAAAAATATGCGATAGGCTTGTCTATCAATACTTTGAAGATCACATAACTGACGCCAGGCTGCCAGGGACATATCAGAATCATAGGAATGTCCTAGAAATGCAGCCTTCAGAGTCATCATCATCAGACAACTGCACTTTGCCAACAGC